AATAACTTCAGCTGCTGCCACTGCATATACACTACTGGCCAGAAGTCTCTGGATGCACGAAACTTCGAGTGAAGAACAATCGTTTTTCATGATATTTTTAGCAGAGATGCAGTTTGAAATACTGTCACCGTCAGTACCAATTCAAGTTCGATATTTAAAGGATTTCTCAACCTGTCTCATCCATTAATTTTGAAATTCCTGCTTCCTACGTTTCTGAATATCACCAATTTCTTCTAAAAAAACTTCTATCAGAGATGTAACAAGCAGCAGATTTCAAAATCAAGAACGAGCTAGATTGAAAATTTCTTTAAGTATGGAGATTATGTTTCCCCGACTGAAAGTAGTATTTCATCTCTAACTTGATTTTTACTCAGCGTATTCGAGCTTGAATTGGTACTGACGGTGACAGTATTTCAAACTGCATCTCTGCTAAAAATATCATGGAAAACGATTGATCTTCATTCGAAGTTTCATGCATCCAGGGACTTCTGGTCAGTAGTGTATATTTCTATAAGTATTTTTCATATTTTTTAAATGTTGTATCATTAAATTTATCTTCAGTTAAATCCTTTTGTTATAGTTGTTAATATTGAATTTGTTGTTACAGATGGAAGATTTCCTGTTGGTGTTGGTGGTGCATAATATGGTAAAATATCATTAGCTAATAATATTTCAATTAATGAAAGACTAATTGCATTTTGTTTTGATTTTAAATCTGGTTCAGATATTAATTTATAGAGAATTAATGTTGGTGCATGTATACGTTCTTTCCAACATTCAATTAATTTTTTAATTAAATCTAAATTTGATTTCATAACAATAACATTACGATGTGAACAATTTGAAAATAAATATTCAATAAAACGTTGTATAGCTATTGAATCAAGTTCAATTGGTATAGCTTGTTTATGCCATGATAATAATATAACAATTGTATCAATTATAAATGTATTTAAACCTTCTGAAGAATTTTCAAACATTTGATTACATATATGAATTATTGGTGTTAACCAATAACGTGCATATGGTTTAAATATTGTATGTGTATCTATAATAAGACGCATAAGAAATAATTTTATATTAAATGATATAAGTGGATTACTAAATTTTTTATACATACATATCATCCATGGTGACATATCAGATATATGATCATTTATTGGTATAATTCCATTTGTTTCCATATGTTTTAATAAACAAACCATTGGTGTCATACATGGATGTAAATTAAGTTCATCCATTTCCATATCAATAAATTCAGAACCAATTTCATCATCTGAACCTTCGATTAATGCTGGTCTATCATTATCATCAAGTTTTTTTTTGATTAATTAAATTAGTTGATGAATTATCTGATAAAGAA